AAAAAAAAAAAAAATAATGAAATCTTTTTCTATTAATTAAAATTCCATTGTTCGAATTAAAAGAAAAAATTCTGTAAACAAATTGGCTTTAGATCATTAAATATAAAAATAGATGGATCAAATAGTTTTCTTTTCAATGGTCCAACCATCTTTTGATATTATCTCAAGAAAGGAAATAAAAAAAAAGATAGCGATTATTTCTTTTTTGGTTATCAGGAAAAAAAAAAAAAAATTGAAACAATTAGGGAGCCAAAACATATGAATATTATGTGTATATATTTTCCCTCTATGTAAAATAAATAAAAGTAAATAAAATAGATAAAATAGATAAAATAAATAAAATAAATAAATAAAATAAATAAAAAATTATTAAAATTAGAAATTGAAATTGAAATTGAAATTGGTGTGAAAAATATGAAAGATTATGTGGGAAATTAACTATTTTGTTAATTCTCATTTATATGGTCAAATTATATTTTAAAAACTTGATTTTATTACCGGAAGGAAAATTTGTAAATTCCGTGACCTCAATAAACAATTATAGGTTCAATTAGAACAAAGTAATGTAATTAAAACATTGTTCATAAAAAAAAAAATTTTTTTTTTTTTTTTAAAAAAAAAAATAAATAAAGAACCTGATTTTTAAAGAAGATTTTATTCTGTGAAACGAATGGTATCGCAAAATGGGCACAGTTAAAAGCGGTCATAAACCTGAATTTTATCAGCATCTTTATTATAATTGTGGCTTGCATAATTCGTAATTTAAATTTTTGTTGCCGAGTGTTGCCGTTATATTATTATTTTAAAAATCACATGAAACACAATTCGATTTTATTATAAAAGTGTAACTTTACTATACCCAAATTTATTTTTTTCTTTCAACAATGATAAAAACTCTTTCATTTTCTTTTTTCATTTACAAACTGCATCATTAATAATTTCTCTTACCTCATCCAGCGAAAAATAAGCGCGCCGCGAAAATTGTCCTACGATTACACTACTTACTTAAATAAACTTTATTATTATTATTATATAAACCTCTTTTGTTTTTTTTTTGTTTCAAACAATGTCTTCTTTCATATCAACTTCTTCCTCCATTTTTTCATCATATTTTTCAAAGAAAGATAATAAGTACGATATTTCTGTATTAATTATCTCTTTTATAACTTTTTGTGCTTTATCAACTTTTTGTGGAATAATTTTCACTGTAAATTTTACTGGTTGGTTCGTTATTACTGTAATTGGTGGTTTTATAGCAAAGTGTCGTCAAGAATTAATTAAATCTTTAAGTGGAAAAAAATTTAAACCTGAAAAAGAAGTAAACATGTTGGATCATAGATTAAATTCTCGTCATCATTTTGAAGAATTTCGTTTATCTTCTTCAAAAGAAATTCCTTCAATACCAAGTTATCGTAATAAATCAAATAATAATAAGTCAAATTCTAAAAGTAAATTAGATACAATATTATCATCATTTGACTTTTCATTCTCTGGTAAAAATAATAATAATAATAATAATAATAATAATAAATCAAATAAAAATAAAAAAAGTATTCCAGTATTACCTCCTTCAGAATACTCTACAAAACGTAATGGTAAGTTTTATAATATTATCACTTTTTTATTTTATTTATATATATGCTATATATATGCTAATTTATTTATTTATATGCTATTTTTGCTATTTTTGCTATTTTTTGCGCTATTTTATTTTATTTTAGAAAAAAGAACAAAAAATATAAAACAAAGACATAGTCCTGATATTCCTTCACAGTTGGGTCCAAATAGACGAAATGAATGGGTATCAGATGTAGATTATTATCCAAGTGAACGTCATTCTCATCAACCAAAATCAAAACTCTCAGTTACGGAAAAAATGATTGAATCAACTGCTGCATATCGTGTTGGTAGAAAATGTAATGGTTGGATAAATGGTTATTCTGAAGAATATGCCATTAAACAAAAAGATTCAAAGTCTGGTCACACAAGTTTCACTTCTTATGATGATCCGTTCTATTCAAGGTATGTCTCACGATTTTTCTTCTACAAAGAGTATCCTATATCGTTGTTATGTTGATCGAATTTGTACATTACATGAACTTAAAGAACAATCTGTGTAATCTTTATATATATTTTTTTTTTTTTCTTTTTTTTTTTTTTTTNAGAAAAAAATAGTAAACACAAATTAGAATTTCTCAACTTTCACTAAAATTACAAAATGTTTCAAAATCGCTACACCCTCTTAACCATCGTCAAAATTATGTAAGAAATCGCTATAATACTTTTAACATGCAATCCCATCATATTTCGAATGAAAGGGTTACTAAAATAAACGAAACACATGAGGATAGCATTATTATTGACAAGGAACTTGACAATGAAAGAAACAAGAATACTGAAAATGAAGAAATTATTAACGAAAATCCATCTGGTAAGAATTCCAGCAAATATTCTAACAAAGAAAAATCTGTTGAAGAATTTGCCAAAAAATCTGACAAAGATTCTGATGAAAATCCTGATGAAAATTCTCTGACGAAGATTCTGATGAAGATTCTGACGAAAATTCTGACAAAGTACTTAGTGGAGAGTCTGATGATGAATATTTTAGTGAAGAATCAAATGAAGAGCCCGATGAAGAACCTGACATAAGTGAAAAAATCATTGATGAATCCTTAAAAAATGAACATATGCCATATTAGTGGAGAATTTGCCCCGTATTTCAGCATTATGGAAGCTTTAATATTTTGCTGGATTCAAAAACATAATATATGAAGGTACAAAAACGTTAGATAAATTAACAAAAACTATTGCTGTACCATCGCAAAATGGCAAAAATTTCACTAGCAATTTGCGATTTTAACATGCTTGGCACGGGCGAATAATAATTTATAATTAAATCTCATTATTATTAATATTTTAATGTTATAATTTACTGTAGATAATAGAATTTTATTAATTTTATTGCTTATAATTTATGATAATAAAACTTTATTAATTTTTATTGCTTACAATATACTGATAATAGCTTAAATTAAATTCTTTTTTATAACCACGAATTTTCAGCGCTTCAAAAAATAAAAAAATAAAATACTACTATGTAAATACAAAAAAACAAAACAAAAAAAAAATATTTTTAAAATTTTAAGTTGTGTACTCGCAGATACGTCGCACAAATGTCTTGATTAATATATTCCGACTGATGTTCGATGTTATATACTATCTTTTAAAGATTATTATTCGAGCTCGCCACTATTTCGAGAGTGGTTTTCATCAAAACTTTATCGAAATGTTATCAAAAACTTAGCAAAAAATGTCGTTACAAGATAGATATGAATCCGAAAATATTTGGTGACGAACACTTGACTGCTAGGTCGCAAAACACCAGGTTTCTGTAAAGAAGCTCACGCCAGGATTTTTTTAAAAATGGGAAATCTTAACGAAGTCATGTGATCAAAATGATCGACATAATTATCGTAGGATAGAAAACAAGTCCTCCATTTTCCCTATTTTATTTATTTGTAAAATTCTAAGAATTTTCAACAAAATACAGGTTTTATGCTTAAAAAAAAAATTTTAATATTTTGTTAATCCTTATTTTTGGAAATAAATGTCAAAATAATCATCAATGCGTTTTTTTTTTAAAAAAAAAATAAAAAGATCAAATAGATTGTAGATTGATAATATTAAAGGAAATGCCAAGATTTTTTGAGTGAGAAAAAAAAAAAAAAGTCGTCATAAAAAAAAGACTCTTGATTTCAACATTTTTTTTATCCTAAACATGATCATGATTATTATATTTACGGTATAGTTTGCGATACTTTAATTGTTATTATATAAAGTATCTCAAGATTACCTAACGTGAAATCATACTTTATGTTTATATTAAATTAATTTTATTACATCTAAAGTTATCATTAATTAAAAATTTTTAAAATGCTTAATTCGTTTTGTTAAAACTTGGTAACCGGAAAAACGCGTGAAAGAAAATTTATCAGAATGTAAAACAGAATGTAATACATTGGAATAATCCAATATAATGAAGATATTATGGTCAATCCCAATTCTTTTATTGTATTTATGTGGTTAATAATATTGAAAACAATAATTATATAAGTTACCGAGGAAATTTCTATTTAGAAATTTGTCCTAAATTAGAGAATAGAATGAAACACAACACAACAATAGACAAAATTGATCCCAAAACTTGATTTGAACTTGAAATTTAAACTTGATTAAACATAATCTAACTTAGTGGCTATATAATGAAGATATTTGCCTAAAATGATTTTTTTTTTTATGATTCAAAAGTAGTTGTTATTGTTAAAACTATCATTAATTGTTTAATTCCAGTTTTACTGTCAAAAAACTTTCTTGTTATCATAGCAGATAGTTATTGAAATAACAAATGATACTATCTGCTATTAATTGGTTGTGATCTTTAAAGTCTTTCTTTTTTTAATAGAAATTTTTAGTACTTACCAACTTTTAATATCTATAGTTATTTTTTTAAGCTTAATAACAAGAATTTGAATTATAATAATAGGTTATATCTGATATTCCATAGGATCATGTATAGTAAAATTTTATAGTTATCTGATAGTATTTTATATGCAATATCAAATACTATGAAATTTATTTTATTATTAATTATACACACAATAAAATATATCTATATACTGTACATTATCAATTATATAAGCTAATTAATATGGAAAATTAAAAGTACAGTTATTAAATGTAAATTTTTTTTTTTTTTTTTTTTTTTGATTTATATATGCTTTATTGATATGTAGTTTATATATCATATAAACAAATTATTATAAGCTATATCCACCCAGTAGGATGCAATCATCAAAATATATTAAATGTAAAATTACTCTCCTTAAAAACAATAATTAAATATATAATATATTTGCTTTATTTAATGTAAATTTATTTTTATTAAGGAGTTGCTTTTTGACTTTCATTATAAATTTGTAAGAAAATAATAATAAGAAAAAAAATGGTAACAAAAGAAAGAAAAAAAGATGATAAAAATTAGACTATTTAGACTATTGATAAATATGATCATAGAATATAAAATTTATCTGATGGAAAATAATGTTATTCACTCTTTTCCATCAGATAACTATATAATATTGTATTGGATTAATTATATACATTATACAATATATTAATTATACAATATATTATATATATACACTAGTTGAAATAAGAAATTTCAGACATGTGACTTTCGGTTAAGTTTCAGAATAAATTTCAGCCAAAATTCATCTGAATTTAATTTTGGCTTAATTTTGACTTACATAATTTCTGAAGTTCTTTTCCAAAGTTCTTCCAAAGTTCTTCTGATGTTCTGATTTTCTGAAATTCTGATCATTATATAAAACTTAGTTTTCAAAATTTATTATAAACAAGTGACACTTATATAAAACTCAAAAAAAAAAGAATTTATGCAAAATCCAATAAAAAGCAACAACCTCTGTCAAATTTCGACTAATAAAAATGAAAATTTATTATTATTATTTTTAATGAATATTAAATTTTCTATTAACAGGATTTATGGCCAAATATTCTCTTACATTTTTTCTATCTGAAATTTTATATTTTATTGGCACAAATCTACTGAGAATATTATGCACTAGAATTATGCAATCTCAATCTTCAGGGTAAAATTCAGTACCCCAAAGTTCGACATTGCAAATTTTATCGTCTTTAATACTAAAATAATAACAAGAATTCACTGATTAATACTATCGAATGAATGCCAAATTATGTTTCAATTCTCCATCCAGTAAGTCAACCTTGTAGAAAAAAAAGAATTGAACTTATTTGGGATAACAATTAACACTACCATCTTGTGTTATAAATTTGGCTAAAATATACGAGTTCTTTACGTGATAGGCTGACATATTTGACTCAAATGTCTCTGAACTGATTTTGCATCTACCGAACTGTTTCATTTTGACAGAAATGATCCTTGAATTCTCGTGGCCTTTTTCGAATGGCTTTCGAAACTCAAGTGCGTGTTTCATAAGTCGCCAAATAGTATTTAACCAGGACTGGGAAAACTAAAGCTCCGCATGAGCTGAACCGGCTCACGAGCTGGCTCGAGCTTTTCAATCTGAGTCGAGCTGAGCCACGATTAAATTGGCTTAGTGGCTCGCGAGCCAGTTTGAAATGAGCTTGAGCCGGTGATAGGCTCGATTCAAAAAGCTCAAGCCAGTAATAGGCTCGGCTCAAAAAGCTCAAGCCAGTAATAGGCTCGGCTTAAAAAGCTCGAGCTGGCTTGAGTTATCATACAAAAAACATTGCGAAAACGTTTTTTGTATAATATTATATTAAAAAAACGTTTCGCAACATTTTTTTTAATTCTTTAATAAAAAAACGTTGCGAAAACATTTTTTTCACTATATTATATTGGAAAAAAATATTTCGCAACGTTTTTTTTAATTCTTTAGTAAAAAACGTTGTGAAAACGTTTTTTTCACTATATTATTTTAGAAAAAAACATTTTGCAACGTTTTTTTAAATTCTTAGTAAAAAAACGTTGTGAAAACATTTTTTTCACTATCTAATATTAGAAAAAAATGTTTCGCAACATTTTTTTAAGTTCTTTAATAAAAAACGTTGTGAAAACGTTTTTTTTACTATATTATATTAGAAAAAACGTTTCGCAACGTTTTTTTAAGTTCTTTAATAAAAAAACGTTGCGAAAACGTTTTTTTCACTATATTATATTGGAAAAAAATATTTCACAACGTTTTTTTAATTCTTTAGTAAAAAACGTTGCAAAAACGTTTTTTTCACTATATTATTTTAGAAAAAAACGTTTCGTACCGTTTTTTTAATTCTTTAATAAAAAAACGTTGCGAAACGTTTTTCTGAAGATAAAGCTCGAGCCTGACTTGGCTCGAGCCATGAAAATCATGGCTTGGCTCAGCTCACTTTAGCTTGAGCCAAAATTTTTATGGCTCAGCTTATTCTGGCTCAGGCCAGAATTTTTTTTTTTGAGCTGAGCC